GCGGCGGCGGCGGCTCCTCTGCAGAAGCAGCAGCGGCCACCATGGCCAAGGCCAGCGTGGAGCTCACCCGAGAGCTGCAAGGTACGAGGTCGCCTCGGTCCCCGGGACGCCCCGTCCGGGAACATCCCAGACCCAGCGTTTTCCTGCCCGCGGTACACCCCAGCCCGGCGCCTGAGCCCCCTAGTGCGTCCTCAGTCCAAGGCAGTCCCTACCCCTTCGTCCCAGCGCGGGCATCGGTGTCCCCGGAGCATCCTCCTCTGCTCGCCTCACCCTATCAGGACCTTCTCGTCCTGGCACCGCCCGTCCCGCTCTTCGGTGACAGGTGCAGTTCTTCTGCGCTGCCCGGGGCCGGCTCTCAGTGTTCTTGACCCACCCCTGGGCAAGGCGTCCAGTCTCCCCTCCAGAGAGTCCCCGCTTCCCCATCCCCGCCGGGCGGGGCCAGGGGCTGGGAGCCGCGGAGGTCCTGACCGCTGTTGGTCTCAATACCCTCCCTCCTCTCTGCCCCGCCCCGGAACTGGCCCTGGAGATGCTCCTAGGAGCTCCACGGAGCCCTAACCAGAGGAGGCAGAGGAGGGAGTCAGGGAAAGAGGCCCGGGGTTAGAACACAAGGTCTCTGCGTCTCACCCTCTGCAGTCGCAGTCTGCCCGCTTCTCAACACCCACCACCCACACCTCAAGGCCTATCCTGATTGCTGAGCTCTCAGACTCAGCCCAAACCAAGGCCGGCCCCAACACTGCCACAGCCCTGACCCCCAGAGGCAGGAGCAGAGGCTAGCCCACGCAGAGAGCAGGACGCTCAAGGATACTCCGAGCCATGCTGCCCTGTGGCGATTCCCCACACCTACACATGCACAGGAGCACAATCGTGAGATGTGTGTACTCATCTTTCAGAAACTTGCACCTCCACAGCACAGATCCATTCTGTGGCTGTCTGGCCAGTTCTTCGAGCAGATGGGTATGGGGCTTATTTACCCACTAAAATCCTTCCCCTCACCCCCCAGTTTGGCACTGTGCCCCTTTCACAGCTGCAAGCCAACATATTCATTCACACTTCTCTGTCCCTCCCAGTGCCACGCTCAGGCTCCTGGCATCAGAAGTATGCAGACACCCATAGTAAAGGCAGCCTCACATCCAGACCACATAGATACCGTCAAGGGACACCCCCACATCCCCACACACTGACTCACTGTGTATGTGTTGATACTGCTGTAGTACATGGGTTAGAAACATCCTCACACCCGCAGAAGTGTAAGACACACCCTCCCACAAACATTATCACTCAGCAACTGTCCCCTGACTTCGGGACACCAGGAACCAGAGTTTTCAACATACAAGACTCCCTTTCTAGCAGGAAAAGTTACTCAAAAAGGAAATCTCTGTCCTGTACTTTGTCCCTGTTTCTCTCCCCTCTCATTTGCCCTTGCCTCTGCCTCTATCTGAGGAACCTTGGGAGGTGGGAATGGCCAGGATAAGGGGATCTCTGAGCACAACCCCACCCACCTGCAGATAGTATCCGAAGGTGCCTCAGCCAAGGCGCTGTGCTCCAACAACATCGTGTGAAGCTAGAGACAAAGCCCAAGAAGTTTGAGGACAGAGTGCTGGTGAGGGCATTGGTCTTGGGGGAGGAAGGAGGTGGGCAGAAGAGACAGAGGTGGGAAGGGGTGAGGAGACAGAGCCTGGGGCAGGGGGAGGGCCTGGACTGGGTTACATTTGGGAGCCTCAGGTAGAGCAGGAGAGAGGCCATGCCTAGAGCAGAGCTGAGCAGTCTAAAGGAGGGCAGGGGCACCAGGGCCCAGGAGTCTGCCATGAACCACCCATATTCTTCTCTGCAGGCCCTGACCTCCTGGCGCCTCCACCTCTTCCCCCTTAAGGTCCCTGCCAAGGTGAGTTGGGCAAAGGATTGGGAGACACCTAGCGTGCTCCCTTCCATGCCTGGCAACCAGGCCCTTACCAAGAGCTGGGCATCCCTGTCCCTTCAGGTTGAGAGCTCCTTCAATGTCCTGGAGATTCGCGCCTTTAACACTCTCAGTCAGAACCAGGTAGGCTCCAGGACTCAGCCTGCTATTGGGCCACCTGGAGAAGGGAGTCAGAATCTGAGGCTGTCCACTCCCTGTCCCCCAGATTCTGGTAGAGACTGAGCGAGGCATGGTGAGCATGCGGCTGCTATCAGCTGAGAGCGTGGACCAGGTGACACGACATGTGAGCTCTGCCCTCTCCAAGGTCTGCCCCGGCCCTGGGTGAGTGGCAAACAAGGGTCCTTCAAGGGATTAAACAAGGAAACTTCTCTTCCCCAGGCCCTATGCTTCTGGGACACAACAGTGCACATGTCTCCCCTCCTTTTCTTGGGGACCGAAAAGCTATAATTTGGGGAAAATTGAGACCCTCTTTCCACCGCTCTCTGGGATGATTTATTCATCTTCTAGGTGTTTGATCCGGCGTGGAAATGCAGATACCCCAGAGGGACCCCGAGACACATCCCCCAACTCTGAGACTTCCACATCTACCACTCACAGTGTGTGTGGTGAGCAGGGGCAGACAGCACTGTGGGACCAACCGAGGCCATCTTGTTCAATGTCCAGAGCATTCAGTTTTGCTGGAGAGGTCTTTGCCTACCATAAGGACATCCCAGCTCCTGGACCTCAAGAGGTTCATGGAGTAGCAGGACTCTAGGACACTAGCACCTTCAGTGACCTTGGCTGTTCCTTGAACCTCAAGCCTCCTCCCTATCTCCTGACCATTCATGAAGCCAGCCCATCTCTCACCCCACAGGTGGCTTCTCTGAGACCTATGCTGCCCTATGCGACTACAATGGGCTGCACTGCCGTGAGGAAGTGCAATGGGTGCGTGGGGCCGGGACCCAGCAGGGAGCAGGTGGGACCCAGAGGGAGGAGGCAGAGGAGGGGTGGGGAGGGTGTGAGCCAGTTCCACCTCTCCAAGGATGTGGACACCATCTACCATGCCGAGGATAACCGCGAGTTCAATCTTTTGGATTTCAGCCACCTTGAGAGCCGGTAAGCAGATGGAGCAGAGACTCAACAATCCCCCCACACACATTCACTCTGACCCTACCCAGGATCTGATTCCAATCCTACCCACAGCCCCTGTCTATCTCCCCAACTCTCTCTATCCCCACTGCCATCTCCCATCTAGGTTTCCCCAACCCAACCCCCCATCCCTGGCCTCTTCTTTCCTATCACAGCCACCTGCTTACCACTTTCCATCCCTTCAATGTCCCCACAGAGACTTGGCCCTAATGGTGGCAGCCCTGGCATACAACCAGTGGTTCACCAAACTCTACTGCAAAGACCTGCGGCTGGTAGGAATTAGGAAGGGCTGGGGTAGGGGAGAGTAGGGTCCTCCTTGGCTCCTAATCTCAGGACCCTTCTGTCCTCAGGGCTCAGAAGTGCTAGAACAGGTGCTACATACCCTGAGCAAGTCGGGCAGCCTTGAAGAGCTGGTGCTGGACAATGCCGGGCTTAAGACGTGAGGCCAGCCTCCTCTGTGTCCAGTGATGCCCCCATCATGTAGTCTTAGGATCCCCAAACCTCAGAGCATGATATGGGTCCCTGAACTATTTCCTCCAGCTCCTATCTTTAGAAAGTAGTCTGAGGCCCAAAGCAGGCACAAAGCAAACCAACAGTCAATCTGGGACTCAGACCTCAGCCTCCTGATACCCTAGATGCTTGCATGGCTTTCTCCAATATACTCCACACCTGTACCCCTTTCTATCAACTATTTAGCAGGGTGGGCTGCTCCAGTCTTGAAAACGCAAAGCTGGGCTTTGTCTCAGCCCAACTTCCTAAGGTGTGGGATGTCCCAAGTACTCCAGAGAGGTGACAGGGTCCCTGGCAGACCCCAAGCTGGCTCTTGTGGGGCATCCTCTGCTCTAACCATTGCAACCCCAGCCAGGCAGGCAGGTAGAGGAGGAGGGGAATCCAGGGACTGGGACCTGGGGCTCAGCTTAGGACAAATCCTTCCTCCCCTTCCCTGAAGGGACTTTGTCCAGAAGCTGGCCGGGGTGTTTGGGGAGAACGGGAGCTGTGTGCTGCATGCCCTCACTCTGTCCCACAACCCCATCGAGGACAAGGGTGAGCCCCAGCCCTGAACCTTATTCCTTCCACAATGCAGACCCTGTCCTAGCCCAGAGCCCAGCCCAGGTCTGAACAGGGGCTCTGCAGCCTGATGGCAGCCCCTGACCCCACACCTGACCCTTGACCCCAGGCCTGCACCC